TGAATATTTATTGTGTATGGATGGACGGATAATGAGAAATTTAAAAATATTCCTGTCTTTTCATATTTTTTGCCAGTGCCACACGTGTGCCTGAAACGAAGTGTGTGACTACATTGTCACATGGCTGGTGAATGCATTAGAAATCCTAATCCTTTTATTATGTAAAAATATACACGAACATGGAGTTTGAAGTTTTTTTATTTGCATATTGGGAAACGTACTCTAAAGTCCTATTATGATTTTTTTTTTTTACTTTTTACGATAACTTTTATTAAACATCTCACACAAAACATCAAAACTACATTTATATTCCCAAATGTCATTACATAATATTGTAAATTATATTAAAAAAATAAATTGTAATTTTTTTTTGTGATACCTTAAATAATTACTTAGAATGTTAAATTTTAAATTGAGTACATTTTTATAAAGAAAAAAAGACGCTGAAAATTATTAAGTACGATGTGTACCCAATACAGAATTACAATAGATCATCAAATATCTATTCGTAGACCAAAATAATCTTATCCTCATATCAAGTTCGGTTCATATCTTTTGTTTGCGCGCTACTGATTCTACAATGCATATCGACATACAATATGCGCGTGCGGGTACCTACGTTATGCATTTGTACCCTTTGTTTGATTTAAAAGGGTTTTATAAGGGCGCAGACGTTTTTGTAAGATTATAGTTAATAGGGATTGTATTTCAGGTTGTTAAAAGAAGGTGAAGGTGATGATGGTACATTTTTTTGTTTGACAACATAGGTGTCTAACTGGTTTTTTCTACAGATAATACGTATCGCCTATTTATACAATACAATTTTATGTACGGGGTTTAAGACGATAAAAAAAGTTAATAAACTTCTAGAGTCTAGAGGGTAAGGTACTTTGGAATATTCTAAAGTCATTTAACGATAAAAGGTTGTTGGTTTATGTGAATCATCCAATTTATTATCAAGAAAGTGTAGACAAATTATACAGTGATGCATTAGCGGTATTATGAAGATAATCTGAAACTTGTTTTTTTGTTAATATATTCCAGACATGTTGAACACTAAATAGGTCAAGAGATAAAGAAATACATATTGTGTCTGAATTTACTTGACATCAGATCTATTTTCCTTTTAGACAGAAAACACTTTTTTGGATATTGATTTTACTCAGGCCTATTTAACCTCAGAATTTATTACTTTACTATTTAAAAAAACACTTCTAAGTACTCGAAATGGTCGTTTTTAATCTATACATATATCAAGACAGTCTTTTAAACTACAAATATTATCTTGTTTGTGCTTAAAGACGAATATATAATTATGTAAATCAATTGCTGTACTCTGTTCATTAGATCAGATCATTGATTAAACCTTTTGCCAGTAACAGGGTGTTTGGTAAATCAGTAAAAAGCTATTAAGGGAAGCTTTTATAACAATGTACTCAATAAACATACAAATTCAAATGACGCAATAATTCACTTTCCAAACATTTTATAACGGCTTTTTTCTTTAAAGTTATTCCTAGAATAAAAAATACTGCTTTATTCTTATTAACCAGTGGTGCCCCAAGTATTGTTTTAAAAAAATATAACATAACCTTAACACAAACCGTAGGCTGGTGACAGAAACATATTTTCAGTTCAAACTTATTTATAATTAGTTACTATGTACAAAATATCGAAAGTCATTACTTCCTATTCAAGAGATTTCAATAAAAAAAAATTATTTATTTTGGCACCTCGTAAATTCGTTAGGACGCGTTCAAAGGGTTATATTTATTCAGTATTTTGTTATTGTTTTGGGCCCTTTAAAATGTTTATACTGATTTACCAAATACTCGTAAATACAATGACCGTCACAAAAAGTGGAATAGCAAGAAAAATTGATATATATCTAATTAAAACTTTTCTCAGCGTACATAAAATATGTAGGATCACTTGTTTTGTATTCTTGCAGCGTATTTGTTAATATTTTACACGTTTTGTTTACACTGAGAAAACTTTAATAAAAAAACATACCAATTTTCCTTGCTGTCACACGTTTTGTGCCAGCCAGTGTATTTATTTCCGTTTATACAGGGTGGGGCAATAGTGCGTTCGACTTCGATATGTCGAGTTCTATGACAGCTAGAAACCTAATTTAAAAACATAAATAAACTAGACAAAAAATTCTATAACCGGAAATTATTTTCGAATATACAGAGTGAGCCAAGACGATTCTACAGGGTCAACTAACATATTTTAAAGGAATGCCATATATATCAGAACATTTTTTGAAACCTCTTTGTGGTCTCCTTCCACTCCTGGATTATTATTGACTTTCCCAACCACTTGAATGACTTTTTGTGGGAATTATGCCATTTACACGTGTATATTAAAAAAAATTGCTACAGTCAGAATTATCGATTTTTAGAAAAAAATGTTAGTATCCGATACGAGACATCTGTGTGATGAGACTCAGCCCTCTTCACTTCCTAGAAGTATACAGGTTGACCAAAAAATAATTTTTAAATTTACAACTATTTGAACTGAATTTTCTCAGTAATTTCAAATGGGACACACTGTATATTTTTGGACGATGTGATGAAGAATTGAAAAACGAACATTTTTTATACATCCCTATGGCTATTTGTAACCATTTTCGATTTATTGAATAATAACTGCAAAATTTATCAATTAAAATTAAAAATATATTTTCTTTTGTAATTTAAGAGAAGATATAAAAAGTGCTCCACATGTTGCCCATTTTGATTGACACACATCTCTATGCGTCTTTGGAATGAGTTTTCTACTGTTCATAAAATTGCCGGAGTGGTAATTCTAAAAGCATTTATTATCATTCCTTTAAATTTTGGATTATTTTTTTTGTGATGTTTTTATCGGCATCATGTAACACGCTTATTATAATACCTTATCTTGAATTATTTGAAAGAAACCTCATTTTTAATTTATATTGCTGAATTTTACAATTATTATTCAATAAATTGAAAATGGTCACAAATAGCTATAGGAATATAAATACAAAAAATGTTCGTTTTTCAATCCTACATTACATCGTCCAAAAATATACAGGGTACTTATTCCATTTGAAAAAAATTGAGAAAATTCAGTTCAAAAAGTTCTCAATTTAAAAATCCTTTTTACCCACCCTGTATACTTTTAGGAAGTGAAAATGGCTGAGTGTCATCACACAAATGTCTCAAAACTGGTACTAACATATTTTTCTTAAAATCGATAGTTATGATTGAAGTGATATTTTTAATATAAATGGTATAATTTTAGCAAAAAAAAATCATTACATCCAAGTGGTTGGGAGAAAATCAATAATAATGCAGGAGTGAAAGGAGGCCACAAAGAGGTTTCAAAAAAATGTTCTGATATACTTGGCCTTTCATTTACAAAAATATTACTTGACCCTGTAGAATCGTCTTGGCTCATCCTGTATATTCGAAAACCATTTCCGGTTATAGACTTTTTTTGTCTAGTTTACTTATATTTTTAAATCAAGTTTCTAGCTATCATAGAACTCGAGATATTGAAGTTGGACGCACTACTTTCCCACCCTGTATATGAATTATACTATTCTCTAATTATAAAATTATTTGTTTCAGGTATGTAATTTCATGCTGGCAGTAATTCAGTAAGTAAAATTTTACATTTTATTTTAACTTTAATTAAATGGTGGCCTATTACAGAAACAAATATGTATTCACTGCGATTTTTAAAAGGTAAGGAATATTGCTAAAGTTTGCTGTCACAATTTCAATATATATGCGTGGAATAATTAAAAAAGAAATTCTGGCCCATCATGGCTGAGGATACAAAAATAATTATATTAGAAAAATTAATCAAACAATAAAAGATACAAATAAAACTGTCTAATTGAATTTATGAAATACACGATGTTAAATTCAACATATAAAATTGAAACAAAATAGAGCAAATTTATAGGTATACCGATCGTTTTGGCCATATGTTTTCGTAGATAATTAGAATCTTTGCAGAAATAACGTAGTATAATAAGAAATTCACAAAAATAACAGAAAAAGCTTAGGTTGTTAGTTTTAATAGCAGTTTTGTCAAAATTATTGTTAAAATATGTAAAACCAAAAACACTGTTTCCTAAACTCAATTTCAGTTTTCAACAGTGCCTACTGAAAAAAAATCTAAGTATCACTACGTAAAAAATAGAACCATCCGATTATCACTGAGATCGGTAGCGCAATGGATTAGAGACGAATGTAGCTGGTTTTACTGTCCGCCGACTCCTGGGTTCAAATCAATTTATTTAAATTTATTGTATCCTACAAAAAAAGTGAATGCCTTTAAAATGAAAATTTAAATTAGTTTGATGATATAATACAGTTTTAAATAACTATGTCAATTTGCATCGCCTACGAGTTTAAAATTAGATGACCATTCATAGTATATGACTAGTAACTTTACTTTCAAAAGATAGTCAAATAGCTTCATCATAAACATTCCCTATCAACCAATCCCATATTTGTCATCTCACTATTCATATTTTTTTAACAATAGTATAGGATGCGACACATAAAAAATTAACAAGCCTCGATGAGAAAGACACTATGCACATAATTTCCCTTTTATTGTACTCTTCATTTTTCCATGTATAGACAACGAGGAGTCGTCTGATATGTGCGTCCTCCTTGCACCAGTTGCAGGTTCACATTGCACTCTAGTCTGCGCCCACAGACGGATCGATGAGAGACAGTAACCCGATTCATGAGTCACTCTCTCTGCATCACTAGACTTCGACAAGTGTATACGTTTCTAGTCAACTATGGCTGTGGGGCAGTAGTATACAGGGTTATTGGATTACTAAAGTATAAACATTAATAAAATCACCCAATTATTGCACATCTGTTTTGAACAGGATAAACGTCACCTTTGACACATTTGACCAAACAAAAAGGATGCACTATTTGGTTTTTATGTGAAACAACTGGTTACAAAAATGATGATATACACTAATTGTTTTATGTGTCCTTGTAGCCGAGTTGGTAGAGCGCTTATAGCTATTTACTCGGCACCGAAAGTCGATGGTTCGATTCCATCCTGGGGCAAATTAGAAATTTTTTATGTAATTTGTTTCGGACCAAGATGGGAATTGTCGATGCCCTAGATGTGCTTCGGACTCCACAAAAAACTATAGGGTCCCGTCTCTCTTACCTAACACAAAACGAGTGTGTTCCTTCGGTGACTTAAGAGGTGGTTAAGAAAATATTTTAAGAAAAATGTTTTGAGATGAAAATAATGTTGCATGTGAGTCAACTAAATTTGAAAAAATCCAGCCCTTGTGTGAAAATAAAATGAAATTGAAAATTACTTTTCCCAATGCCGCTTAGATTTTTATTCCACCAGTAGGTATATTGTAGGTCTTAAATATAGTTTATCCCAATTCATTTTCCCACAGTACATTTTCAGATACTTGGACATTTTTGCAGAAAACTTAAATCATTTTTAATTGTATTGTACATATTCTGGCATGGTTGAATAGTTTGAGCTTAAGATAAAGATTGATGATAATCATTTTTGGAACTGTCTTTCTTGTAATTATCAGTAAAACATTTATTTAATACTTATATTTAATGGCTCGAAGTGGCGCCTTCGGCATATTTTAGTAAATCAATGTTTTATTAATTACTGATCTAAAAACCAATGATTTCAATAAAATAAAGATAAACAGATAACATATATGTTTATTGTACGTACACCAGGATTTTATTGAATTAAAATATCACTCGCCGGATAGGGGGGAGGAGGAGATGTTTCCCCGAAAATAACTTCTTTGAATTTTCAGTTTCTAAAGCTCATTTTTGTGTAATAGTATCTTATTCAGTTATAGTATTGACTTGTACTTTGATCTATTTTAAACATTTCTTCGGTTTTGGATATCCTCTCTACTGTTTATAGAATTAGTAAGCAACGCAGTTCAATTATTCTACTGGTGCCAACTGTATCGCTAAGTTTATTACACATGTTACAATACATTAGACATATTTTAATTTATATGCCTAGTATCTAATGGAGATAATATGAATATTAGTTGTAATAATTGAGTTAACTAGTGTGTACACAAAATCTTTGTAATATGCCTATAATTATTAGTTCATAACTAACCACGTCATTTAGTGCCAGTGAATGGTTTTCAGACATGTATAACGTCTAGGTTTATCACTTAAATAAAGAAAAATTATCTAACAGCCATTCTTCTTGGCATCAGCAGCATCAGCAGTAGAAATATTAATATTTATTTGTAACTCATGCGGAACTCATCATTTATTACAACATAATTAGTTTTCTGATGGAAATTTCGCCGGGATAGAACAAAATACACTAAACCAGTTTAATCGCTAACGTTTGGAATTTTGTTAAATCTTTCTCAAAGTTCTGAACCTTTAGTGCAGTTAATACAAAAATCATACATTTGGGGTAACTGAGGTGTGCATTGGATAAGATGATTTGAAAAAACAACATAATTATCAATACTATTATCACTGATTTTTAATTTTTTAACAATGCAACAACACACACATTGATTGCGTCGAATCTAAATACCGCCTGGTTGGTAATTATTATTTTGTTATTATTAATAATAATAACTGGATTGTTATTAATAAATCAAGTAACATATATACAAGTTAACTATAATGTTAATATGAATAAACGCAGAGTATATTATGACATTTTACAGAACCAATCCATATAACGCCGTACTAGGTGTACGACTTAACATAATTCCTTATATCCCTACGTGGTCGTTATAGCAAATATTTAGTTTGTTTCTGTTTTACGGACACCCCTATAAATAAAGAATTCCATTTTACGTTAACTTTTTCATGATCGCGACTGTACGCATTGATTTAAATTCTACGACCAGTGTCCTTGTTTTGACAAATCTCACCAAATTAAAAATCATGTTTCGTATGCAAATTTATAACAAAGCGCTCTGATTACTAACTAAAAAAATCCTTCCTGGTCAATAATTAATGGTTACTTACTTAGTCTGGACTACAATAAACACCATTTAACGCCCTTAATCGGCGTCTTTTGATAGTCTACCATAAACTGCTTTTATTACATGCTACGACTGAGTTACACTGTAATTTACTTACCTGTAACTGTACGACAATAAAATTTTGAAACTATGTAATCTGTCAGACTGTCAGGTATTTTACTATTTTCGTAGCAATAAATTATACACTTTACTTATTATTATTAGAAGCATTATTTAAAACACAGGGTTTTATAATTTTATACACAATAAAAAAATGGGGACGTGAGGGGGCCTGCAATTAAAATGTAACGAAATTGTCAAAATAAATATTGAATGTAACTGTATAGTTTAATTACTGGCATTTTAAATGTAAGAAATAAGTGAATATTGATGATTAAATTATAATAAAAAATGACATGGAAGTTTCTTCTAACATTTGTTTTAAATCTACAAGAATGAGTTTTTGGGTATTAAAATTAAACTCAGAAATCTTGACATACTTTTTTGACAGAATATGGAACAAATTTAAATCCTCGTTTCCGCATCTACTTCGAACTTGGGGTATACCATCATATCAAAATGAAATAATTTGAAGGTACAGTCGTGTTCAATGAAGTGTTGTACAGCGATTTTCATAAACAAACGTTTATATTTGAAATATACGTCGTTTCACTCTAGGAATCTAGTATGTCTATTAAAATCTTGTACAACACTTTTTGAAGTTTATAAAGCGTAATCGCTGTACAATACTTTATTTAACACGACTGTACTTCAATGTAGTTGGGTTTTTTCTAAAGCAAAGTGAATTTACTACTCCAAGTTTTATGCTTAATTTTAAATCATAATAACATATACCGAAAAATGATTTCAACCTCAAAACGAGTAATAGGATGGCATAAGTCTGAACCAATAGAATTACACTATTTCAAATAGGAAACATGACAGATAGACTCAGTCTTTCTAATTCTCATTATAAAGAAACACTTGCTATGTACATTATATAAATTAAAAATCTGCTGAAATGCATTGGATACGGAACAAAAGTTCATGAGAAATCCTACATATTTTATGCAACATTTTGCAAAAATTCGATCATTCATCATTAGATAAAAGAGATATACATTTTAATGACTTTGATTACAGAGTTGCAACGTTAACAAATCGTGCTAGATATTTAATTTCCTCTAAGGCCCAGAATTTGGAAGTTTTCTTAAAGATTTCTTATCATCTCTGTCAAAAAGTAGGCTTAATCTACCCTTCGGTAAGAAAAGACCCTTACATGAATTTATTATGATATTGATTGCATGCGAGTGCGAGTGCAACGCGCCCATGCAAGGGGTCGGGCAGCAGTCTCCATGACAACACCCTAGTGCCGGCATCCAGACGGCTATGCAACGGCCGTCGACTCTTGTGCGGGTGGGGCGTAGGGGGCCAATGACCCAGACAGGTGAGGGTGGAAAATTCGAGGATGCTGAATTGCAAATACAGCGAGAGTGTTTTGTTTTTGCTCGAGTCTATCTCTCCTCTCTCCACCACCTCGAGATCTCAACCTTATTTACTTAGTTTAGCTGAAATTTATTTGTGTAATTGCTGAACAAATGCTGCTTAAAAGGTAATTTCGAATAAAATATACGTACAGTGGTTCACTTGGGACTGATTCCGTCTTTGATAGACGCTTAGTAAATTTAATTAAAACTGGAGCTATTACAGATAAAATCATAATTTTTCGTTGCCCCAGTCATAGAGATTTATATTCTAATCGAAATGGCAAATGTTTTGTTTCAAAGGGACATATTTTACTGAGGGAAGAGTAGCAAAAAAGTCCTAAAAACGTATCAAGTTATTTGACCAAAACAGATATGACTCGAACAAAACATTATTATACATTGTACTGATTCTGCGGTTGGCTCCTTGTGAAACATTATTAAATATTTTAAATAAACAAAGAAAATTAGCTTTTAAATGTTTCAAAATTATATTTTCACTCTACACGTGTTTCGGCTTTTTTAGGCCCTTTTCAAGAGTACAGATGAGAGGTACTAAATTATAATTTGTGTTCCTTGCTTATATATTGAATGTTACATCTGGCAACTTATACTAATAAAAATGGTTTGAAAGATTTGGAATTTTTTAGAAAAGTTAAATTACTTTATCTAAAATGTGGTGACCTGCGAATATTTGTTGTTCATTTGTAGTCGTTTTTTTATTTTTGGAAGCTTTCTTAATTTCTAATATTTCTAGCAAGTCTAATTTTTTGCTTTTCTTTTCGGAATGAAGTAATTTTACATTATCCATATTTATAAAGTGATTGTTTTCTATACAGTGTGTTGACATGCTGGTGCTATATATGTTGATTACAATAGACTTTTTTATGCTCTTCAAGTCGCTTTTTTATGTTACGTCCAGTCTGGCCAATGTATATATCGTCGCAGTCACAGAGATAAAACAGAAAAACTACAAAAGACAGAAGTGTATGAACTAAAATGTAGTGACTACGACGCTATATACATTGGTCAGACTGGACGTAACATAAAAAAGCGACTTGAAGAGCATAAAAAGTCTATTGTAAACAACATATATAGCACCGGCATGTCAATACCAGCTAATCAGCTAAGAAATATTGCTTTATTATATTTTGTCTAGATTTCTCAGATATAGCAATAACCTTACTATTGCCTGTTTCTAAAGAATGTGAAATTATGAAATCCTTTAAACTATGTATCTAAATATAAACTGAAATCAGAAAATTTATATTTTAAACGAAAAAAAGTATTTTGTTTATAATTTTTCTGACGGCAACATTTTATATTATCTCACAATGGCTAACTATTCTTTAGTTACCAATTCACGTCCACTTCGTAACATATAGAAGGGGATCAAAAGCTATATACATTATAACATTAAAAGATAAAATTATACAAAAAAAATTAAAACACTTTTAAAAAATTAGAGTTTTAAGAAGTTAAAAAAAATAAAAAAAAGAGTTTACCCAAATTAATATATTGTTGTAGTCAATTTTAATTATGATCGAGATTCTCATTTGAAGAACAAGTCAATGTAAAACAT